TATATTCCACGGAGGAAAACTTTCTTCCTCCTTGCTTGAAGTGAAGAAGGGCCTCGTGATTTTTAAAAGATACCGCTGTGATTTTAATGGAATGTGAGTAATACATTGGCTGATACTCTATTGCTATTGTTATCATCATTGTTATTACTTTCGATATCATTGTTATTATTGATATTATTATTATTATTTTCATTATCATCATTATTATTATTACTATTATCAACATTGGTATTATCATTATTATTATTATTATCATTATCATTATTATTATTATGCTATCATTATTATCATCATTATTGTTATCATTATAATTATTATTATTATTATTATTATTATTGTTATTATTATTATTATTATTATTACTGTTATTATTATTATCATTATTATCATGATTATCATTATTATTATTACTATCATTATCTTTGTTAATTTTATTATTGTTATTATTATTATTATTATTATTATTATTATTATTATTATTATTATTGTTATTATTATTATACTATCATTATCATCATTATTACTATTATTGTTATTGTTATCATTATCAAGATTATCATTATTTTATTACTATCATTATCATGATCATCATTATTTTATTATCATCATCATCATTGTTATTACTATTATTATTATTATCTTTATTATTATTATTATTATTATTACTATTATCATTATTATTATCATTATTATTATTATTATTATTATTATTATTATTATTATTATTATTATTATTATTATTATCATTATTATTATTATTATTATTATTATTATTACTATTATCATTATTATTATCATTATTATCATTATTATTATTATTATTATTATTATTATTATTATTATTATTATTATTATTATTATTATTATTATTATTATTATTATTATTATTATTATTATTATTATTATACTATCATTACCAGTCCTTATTATCTATATTAACATTTTCATTCTTATTATCATCGTCATTGTATTTACTGTTCATAACAGATATTAAAAGTGATACCATTCAATAATAATAAAAGCAGTAAAAATTATAATGGCATTGATAATAATTAATATAATGACATAATGACATCAAAATCAATAGTATAATGCCATAATAATAACAAGAGCAATAATGACGATAATAATAGCAAGAGCAATAATGATTATGATAATTATAAGACCAATAATGATGACGATAATAACATGATAACAAGAGTAATAATAATAATGATAATAACAACAATAATAATAATAACGATAACAACAACAACAACAACAATAATAATGATCATAACAACAATATTAATATAAAAAAACGACCAGCGAGCATCTCCGTTGGATGTTATTCGGAATGTCAGTTAATGTGATCCGACATTTTGAAATTTTACTCTCCTGCGTGAACTACTTTATATATCATCCTTCATATCTGTCAGCACTTTAAAGTTGTGGCAATTTCACCGAAGTTCAGCCGTAGAGTAATGTAGAAGTGGCGACCGTACAATACATTATTAGGAGGAGTGTGGAGGGGGGGATGTGTTATGGGGGGGAGGGGGAAGGGGAGGGGGAAGGGTGAAGTCAGTGGCCTTGCGTTCGTTTTCTAATGAATTTTCTTTTTTCTTTTTTTCTTCTTTTTTTTACTTCTTCTTCTTCTTCTGCTTGTTTTTCTTTTTCTTTTCCTCCTCTCTTTGGCTTGTATGTAAATATTTTCGTGTAAATAGTTTTGCTCACATTTTTTTTCTTATATATTGTTTACTTGTATATAAACAAAATGGAAATAAAATTTATATACATGTTACCCCACTTAATTCATCTATTTTATACAACATCTCTTCGTTACTTTATCTTCCATGTACGTTATTTATTTCCTTCTTTTTCTTCTTCTTTTCCTCCTCTCTTTGACTTGTTTGTAAATATTTTCGTGAAAATAGCATTGCTTACATTTTTTCTTATATTTCGCTTACTTGTATATAAAATAATCGGAAATAAAATTTATATACATGTTACCCCTCTTGATTCATCTGTTTTATACAACACCCCTTCATTACTTTATCTTCCATGTACGTTATTTATTTCCTTTGTCTTACTTATCTTGATTTTTCGTCTCTTTTTCATTATGCTTTATTCTTTTTTATTTCCGTCCTATTGTATTTCGTCTTTTATGTTTTTAGGTGCGTATCCCTTCTTTATTTTTCCCAGCTTTTCTGATTCACTTTTTTTATTTATTTGTTTTTTGTTACTACGGTATATTCTAATTTCATTTAGGAAAAAAGGACATACACCTTATGTTATATCTTGTTATTATCATTATCATTGTTATTGTTATTATTATTTTTATTACTGTTATTATTGTTATTATTATCATTATCATTATTATCATTATTATTATCATTATTATTATTGTTATTATTATTATTATTATTATTATTATTATTATTATTATTATTATTATTATTATTATTATTATTATCATTATCACCATCATCATCATCATAACACTAATAGGCATAACGTAGAT